GCTCCAGAGACGGGAGGCCAGGGAGCCTCGTCCTGACCCCAGAGTCATGGGCAGTGACAATGGCTCCTGCCCCAGCCGAATCTGGGATCGGAGCTGGACGCCCTTCAAGGGCGATCTGAGGGAGAGACCGGGGAGGGGCTCACCGATGGGCGTGTATCCCTCCAGGGAGGTGCCACCCCAAGGGAGCACAGGGTGGAGGAAGTGGCCCCAGCGGCCCACACGGAACCTGCACAGGGGACCCACCAGCACTGAGACAGGCTCCTTTGTGGAAGCACTGCCTTCCGCGGCCCTGAACATGGCCCCGGGTGGAAATGGGGCTGCCTGTCTGCAGGGGTCCACAAGGACGTGATGCCACTAGTTAGCATGACCTGTGATGTCAGAGGTTGTGACCTGTGATGTCAGAGGGTGACCTGTGACATCAGGGGCCATGACCTGTGACGTCGGAGGACACACACAGACTTGGCCTCCCATCTTCCCCACCACTGTCGAGAGGAGGCTGCCGGGAAGTCCACATGGGCGCAGTGAGCTGCCTCAGAAAGGGTCACGTCCTCTGTAGGGCCGGGGGCTGAGGCTACCGGGGGATGCGAGGGTGGGCGCTGTGGACGCCTAGGCTCGGAGGTGAGGGGAGGACTCGCCCCTGGATCTCCCCTCTATTCAGATTCAGCTACACTGACACCTGCAGGCTTCGCTTCAGCCCTCAAGTCCCCAAGGCCAGTGCTCACCCCTCCCCACTTTTTTCTTCTCAACTCACTAAGAAAACTTTTATTTTGAAATGTGTTTATTGCGACAAAGTACACGTAACGCAAAATTTTCCCTTTTAACCATTTTCCACCCTGCAGTTCAGCAGCATTAAGAACATTCACATGGTTGTATGACCATCACCACCATCATCTCCAGAACTTCCCCGTCTTCTCAAACTGAAATTCTGTCCCCACCAAACACCGACTCCCGGTGCCCTCCTCCCTCAGCGCCTGGCAGCCACGGTCTGCTCTCTGCCTCTGGACTATTCCCAGGCCCCCCACACGTAGAATCGTATAGTACCTGTCTTTCGGTGACTGGCTTATTTCACCGAGCATAGCGTCCTTAATGTCCATGCTGTAGTAGCCTGTGCCAGGGGCCGCGTAATGCCCACCGTGGGGATGGACCACTCTCCAACCCAGTCTTCCACGGATGGACACTTGAGTTGTTTCCACCTTTTGGCTGCTGAGCATGACGCGGCTGTGAACACGAGTGCGCAGATACCCGAGTCCCTGCCGTCGACTCTTCCGGGTACATACCCAGAAGCTGAGCTGCTGGCGGACGTGGGAATTCCGCGTTCAACTCTTGCCGAGGAAATTGCGTGCTGTTTTCCATGGCGGCTACACCATCTGAATTCCCACCAGCAGTGCTCAAGGTCCTGGTTTCTCCACGTCCTCACCGCCCTCTGCTGTTCTCTGCTTTTTAAAAACACCTTTCACTGTAACAGCCGTCCTGATGGGCGTGGGGTGGTAGCCCACCACAGTTTAGATTTATTTTCCCTAATGACTAAGACGCTGGTGGCGCTGAGCATCTTTTCACGAGCTGTTTGGCCATTTGTATGTTTTCCTCATAGAAATGTGTGTTCAAGTCTTTCACCCATGTTTTGATCAAGCTGTTTGTTCTGTTGAGTTCATGAGTTCTTTGCAGTCTCGATATTAAACTCTTCCCAGATAGAGATGGTTTGCGCTCCCAGTCCAGAGGTGGCCTGTTTCCACGCTGTTGATGGTTTCCTTTGATGCGTGAAAGGGTTTAACTTGATGAAGTCCAGTTGACTGATGTTTACTTCTGCTGCCCGTGATTTTGGTGTCATAGCCAAGAAAGCATCACCAAATCCAATGTCAGGAAGTACTCTCTTCTGCTTCTAAGAGCTTTACGGTTTTAGCTCTCATGTTTGGGCCTCTGGTTTCTAGTTACTCTCTGTCTATGCTGTCAGGCACAGGCGCGGGTTTGTCCAGTTTTCCCAGAACCATTTGTTGAAAAGGCTGTCCTTTCCCCATTGAACGGTCACGGTGTCCTTGTCAAAAGTCACTTGACCACGCGTGTGAGAATTAATCCTGGGCTCTCTGTCCTATTTCGCCGGTCTGCGCGTCTGTCTGTGTGTCTCATACTGCTTTGGCTATGGTAGCTTTGTAGTAAGTTTTGAAATCGGAAGTTTGAGTCCTGCTTTGTCCCTCTTTTTCATGATTGTTTTGGCCATTGGGGTCCCTTGAGATCCCACGTGAATTTTCGGGTGGGTTTTTCTCTCTCTGTGAGAAGGGCCATTTCTCCCCTTTTAATTCAGCACCTATGTGAGTATGGCCGCATGGCCGTTCCGCACTTTGAGTCAGAGTCCAGTGCTGTGTTACTTCTTTCATAGCTCCAGCCGCTCCAGCTTCAGATGGTCCCTGTGACACTGACATGCCCCTTTCACTGTCTTCCCGAGCATCTCCTACTGTCTGGCACTGCAGACGCTTCAGCCTGTCTTGTGTTTTTCTTGCCCCAGGCCCAGGAGCAGCCATTTCTCCAAGGAGCCCTGGTTCCTTTGATTGGAGAATGGCATCAGACACCAAGATCTGGGCACCAGGGGTGCTCACTGCTCCTGGGTGTCACTGCTTCCAGGTCCTCGCAGCCGGCAGGCCTAGGAGCTCCATGGGTGCATATCTGGATGAACTGCTTTTGTTCCCCATCACCTCCTGTAACCACCATAACCACCTCACAGAAAACACTGTCCACAGACCCTCTCCACGCCATCGAAGACCCCCGGTCCTTCAGGATATTCCAATGTCAGGGCGGCTCCGTTTTGGGAGGACCCTTCCGTAACACTCGGTTATGAGGTCTACACTCGTTTTGGGGTTGTCAGAGCAACGGCCCCATCGCTGGTGCCCTACTCTGGCCTCTCAGCGGCCCTTGCCCCCTGACCCGCCAAACTTTTCCTAGGAGGAAGCAGAAGGCAGTGGTGCCCAGCTGTGCTGGCACTCTGCTGCTCAGAGCAGTTCTTTCTACCCCTCCAGGACACGCAGGTCCAAGTGAGCTGCACTGTGCGCAAACGCACGTGAAGGAAAAGACAGTGGGAGCAGGGGCCGCAGACCCAGAAGCAAGCAGGAGAAAGGAGACCGGGCTCATGGGTGGGGATGGGGCCGGGAGCCACCCTCTCCTGGTCAGAGCTCCAGACTCTGATGTAGCGACACGGGGCTTCCCCGTGCCAGACGCCGTGTGTGTGGGCCAGGGCACTGGGTGGGTGCCTGCTGTGCGGGCCACCCCCCTCACCAGGCCCCGCGGGAGGTCTGAGTCCTTGCAGCTCCCCCAGCACAGACCCCAGGCACACTGGGGCTCAGACTCAAGGACACGCAGCGGGAGGAGCGATTCCAAGGAGCACAGGCCTGTGCCTGGAGCTCTAGGGCCTGGGCGGCGTGGGGCTCTTTCTAGCCCGGGGCTGAGTAACAAGTGAGAAAACACCTGGGAAGGTTCGGGTGGTGCTGAAATGACGTGGAGACGCAGCTTATACAGCTCATGGCCTGGAGGTTAGGGGCGGTGCGTGAGGGGGCAAGGGTGGGTCTCCTGACGGCTGACGGCCCCTCCTGTCTGCTGCCCTGGGGAAATGGGCCTTGTGCGGCTGAGGTCCCAGTGGGAGCTCCTGGACACAGGGGAGGATGTGGCCCAGGTCAGGCCTGAGCTCCTGGTCACTCAGGAGTGAGGGGGCTGCAGCCCAGATCAGGGTGCTGGTCACTGGGCCAGGACCCCAGTGGCAGGGCAGCGACCACGGGTGCAGAGCTCTGTGTGGCTATCTTGCACCCAAGCTGGCCAGGCCCGGACACTCTCAGGTCTAGGGCCTCCTCTGGCCCTGCTGACCCAGGAAGGCAAGCAGAGCACACTGCCCACCACGGAAGCGGACCCCAGGGCCTGGCTGGAGCTGATGGCCTCAGGCAAGGGGCTTCCCAGCTCATGCTGCTGCCCGAGGAGCAGGAGGCATGGGCTGACCAGGGGTCAGAGCTGCACCTGCCTGCCCGAAGCCAACCGTGGTCACCAGGACAAGGTGACCTGCCAACTGTTTCTGGCGGCCAAGTGCCCAGTTACCAGGAGAGGCAAGCCATTTCCCACCCCCAAATACAGAGGACACCGCAGATGGGCACAACACCCCCATGGAAGGACACGGAGGGCACCAGATGGGCGTGGTGGCCACTGGGGCGGGGGCACAAGGAGTAGGGGACACAGAGAGGGCACTTCTGTCATCTGAGTGACCTTGGAACTTCTGCCTGAACACAGCCTCACATCCCACAGCATCCCCAAGCCAGAGCAGCCTCCCGGGCCCACAGTGGACAGAAGCCCGGGACTCACCGGGCTCTGGGTGTCGGCGTCCAGGGACCCGCCGGCCTTCTGCCTCGCCAGCTCCTTCACGTAGTTGTACACGTCGGCGCTGAAGCAGTCGGCCTCGTAGAAGGCGCTGCACCAGCCGGGGCTGCAGCTCTGGACGCTCGCCAGGCCTGGGTTTGAGGATGGGCCGCCCTCCTGGGGCCTGGCCGGCCGGGCTACCGCCTCTGAACCCACGGCCAGGCCCCCATCCGGCAGCCGCTCCTCTCCGGCCTCGGGCAGCTGCTCCCTCCCGGCTCTGACCGACTTCTGAGGCCGAAATCCCACCTCAAAGTTGCCCCGGGAGAACTCTGAGTCCACGTCCGGCTTCTCCTTCCCTGGACAGAGGAGGGGAGGGTGGCTGGGGGCGGGAACGCCAGGTCCTGGGGGAGAGGTCATCACTGATTATTCACGGATTAGGTGTGTCCCGAATACGGGCCACCTGGCGGCCCCGTGTCTGCTCTGGGGGGTCTCCAAAGGGTCCTCAGGGTGGAGAGCCCTCTGTCCCCTCCCAAACACATGCTGCAATGTGGGGCAGAGTCGAGGGTGTAGACCAAGGGACATTCGAACTCTGTAAACAGACGCAATGCAGAGAGTCCCTCAGGCACCATGGTCCCAGCAGGCGGTGGGGCTGTTCTGGGCGTCTGCACTTCGCTCTTTCGAAGGTCCCTGAGCGAGCATGGGGTAGAGGGGAACCCCTGGCCGTCATGTGTGGGATCATAATCACACAATCTGATCCCTAAAGCCATGTTCTGCACGCAGGATTTGGGGAAATCACAAAGGTTTCAGTTCTGGATCAGGGAGTCCTAGGCTACCGATGCAAGAAAACAGGCCTCAGGGTTTTAAGCAGCGCGCTTCCAGGAAGGGTGCAACTCCTCCATCACCAACACCCCCGGGGGCAGGTGCCCCTCCACCATGGCCCCCAGCCCCAAGGCCACCTGGGTTTGTGGCCCACCTGCTGGCCTGGGGAGAACGCCCCCGACTTCAAGGCACAGACCCCTGGGGAGAATGAGCCCTGCCCTGGGGACTCTGCAGGGACAGCCTGGCCCTGAGGGTGGAGGAGGTTCTCACCCTGGAACCCAGGTGTCTCACCCGCTCCGAGACGCGAGGGCCTCCTGCTGGTTGGTGAGCAGTTCCTCCGAAAGCTGGTCCCGCTGCTGCCCTCGGGCTGTGACCCAGGCTCCTCAGACACGCTGTCGGAATGGAGGATGCTTCGGTGCCCCTGGGCCCCTCCCGCCACACCAAGGCTTCCCTCAGGCTCACTAGAGGGTCTTCTGCTGAGTCAAGGTGGGGCCTGGGGTGACAGGGGCCCTGCCACACCTCTGGGACAACTGGCTGCAGGACACAGGCCCTTTGGCAGAGGGCTTTCTGAGCACCGTTTCCAAAACCATAAAAACAGGGGCCAGGCTGGGCAGGAGCAGGGTGTGTGCAGCCTCACTGGGTGGGAGTGGGGCCCGGGGAGGGCACGGGGCTGAGTCGGGGGTGCCCGTCCGCACGGGCATCGTCAAGTCACCCCCAGCAGAGCTTGGCTACCACCTGTCACATGGTCCGGCTGTGGCTCCCGCAGGGAGGGCGTGGGGGTGCTGTGAGCTGGGGCTGGCCTGGGTGTCGGGGCGTCAGGGCCACTCCCACCCCCATGGCCCTCTGCCGCCCTCCGGAAGGGGCTAGGCCAAGCCCGGCACGGAGGGCACAGGTTCGGCCTGTGACGGGGTGAGGGGCCAAGAGGGCTGGGGGAGGGGGACGGGAGGGGAAGCTGCGGGTCCCTCTTCCTCTCGTGCCTGTCACCTCACCCGCTAACACCAGGATGGGAGCTGGACAGTGGGGGTGGACGCTTCCCTGCAGGGACAGCCCCTCCCCGGGCTCCATCACTTTGCCTCCTGAGCTGGTCCCAGAGCAGGGGGCAGGGCCTCCTACGCCTGTGATCCCACGGACCTTCTTCTTGCCAAGAGGACCTGTTGCCTGAAGGGAGCTTCGGAAAGAGTGGGTTCTGGGCCCAGGAACTGGGGCCCAGGGGGTGGCCGCTCCAGGGAGGGCAGTGAGCAGGATGCAGGGGCAGGAGGGGACAGCTTGGGGAGGGGCAGAAACCCTGGGCTGGGGGAGCCTGGGCCCGCGAGGGGAGGGGCTCTTACTTCTCGGAGGGCGACGTCCTCCCGTTCACCACTTTGAAAAGGTTCTGCAGCAGCTTCTCCCCCCAGTAGAGGTCACAGAACTTCTCTGAAATTGCCCCGCAGAAGGTGGCGTAGGTGAGGTCTTTCAAGGCATAAATATATTCCCCTGGGTTTGCAAAAACAACAGGGTGAGTTAAAATGTGGGTTCCCCTGGTCTCAGGAGCTGGCGGGGTAGCAGGGCGGCAGGGAGCACAGCGGGTGGGATGGGGCAGCTGGGTCCTGAGACCCTCTGTCTGCCTGGGGCTTCTCTGCCATCTGGCCCCTGGGAGCTCAACTTTGCCCACTTTGTGCAGAAATGGATGTGGGGGCCCCTACGTGGTGACCTTCCCCATGCACGGTGCCCGCCCCGTGGCCTGTCCCTGGTGCTGGGGATTCTCCTGGGCCTTCTGTGGCCCCTGATACCCATGATCAGAGCCTCCAGCCCGTTGTCCAGGTAACCGTCGAAGGCAAACTCCTCCTGGATGAGGCGTGTGGCCTCCTGCAGTGACGGGCAGTCTGTCCCCTTCGGGAGGGGTGAGGCGTCCCCACTGGATGGACAGGACTTGCGGTCTGCTGACCAGGGCCACTCGGGGTGACCTTCTGGGGCCCGGTCACCCTGGTCCCCGACGGGGGTCCCCCCAGGGCTGTCTGGATTCGCTGTGGCCAGGGAGGGGTTACGTGGGGTTGACGCAGGGCCCTCCGTCTCCTGGTTCGGGCCCCCAGCGGCCTTGCTCCTGGGTGGCTTGGCCAGGTGGCTTGAGCTGAGGTGGGCAGCGGTGGGCCCTGGGGGATGGGCCCTGAGGCCTTGGGAAGAGGCTCCAGTTGGGACAGTCTCGTCTGTCTCTTGCTCTGGGGGTGGCACCTGTGTTTTCAGGGGTGGGGAAGGGGCCGAAGATTTGGGCATCACCAATGAAGCCGCCTCCAAGAGACTGGCCGGGGCAGGGGGTGGGGGGCAGGGGCACCCCTGGGCTGAGTCTCCTGGCACTGACTCTCCGAGGGGCTCTGGGGGGCCTGGTGCTGGCTGGTCGGGCATCTTCAGGCTGGTGGTGGCTCCGTGGGCTTCAGGGGCTTGCTTCCCATCACCCTCCTGGTCCAGTTGGCCTCTCCTCTCCTCTGGCCTCTCGGCTGGCTTCGAGGACAGGGCACATGTGTCCCTGCGAGCCAGGAGAGGAGAGCTCAGGGGGGGCCTGGGGCCCTGCCAGCTTTCGGGAGGGTGCACTCACCTGGCGACACCTGCATCTGGAGTGAGGACGATGGGCCTAAAGTGAGTGGCCGGGGAGGTGAACGCCGCAGGCAGCAGGGCGGCCCCTTCGAGGCGGGAGGGGTGACTGGGCACGGGGCCCTGCACAGCGACGAGCCTGGTGTCCCCGCTGACCCGCATGAAGCCTGGGGACACACACAGGTGAGTGGGCTGGGGCGCTGGCCTCAGTGCGGTCCTGGCGACAGTGGGATGCTGACCTTGGTGGGGTGCTGGCCTTAGTAGGGGGGCTGGCTGAAAGGGCCTGAAGCCTCAAGGCACTGGGAGGGAGAAAGACTTCAGGGAGAGAGGCCTGAGGGAGGGGCCTGGAGTCCAGGGCTGCCCAGGAGCTGGGAGGGAAGGGGCCGGATCAGACGGTAGGCTCAGTCGGGCCTGTGCAGAATAGTGTTCTCAAGCTGCAGGATGGGGGTGGGTGCCACAGAGGAGCAGGGCAGGACAAGAACTGGGGTCATGAGACTGACGCAGGCGGGGCGTGGGAGCGGAGGCAGGTGAGACGAGGCTGGAGCCCCCAGGACTCAGAGGAGACTCACGGGGAGTCAAGAGCAGGACAGTCAGGGCCCAGTTCTGGACACGCCGTCCTGGGGACGCAGCCACATCCAGAGTGGTGTCCACTCAGGGCTGGACTCCTGGAGGCTAACTCTGGCGGGACAGTGGCAGGGGCAGCGGCAGCGTGGGGCCCGGGGCCTGCGGGACGTAAGGTGGGGAAGGGCTGGTCCAGGGGCCCACCTGAGCTGGGCCTGGGCGCAGCGCTGGGGTTCAGTTCCGCCACCGAGGAAGCACTTTGCAGACTGATAGTCTCTTCCTCCTGGTAAACCTGGGCAGCAGGACACGGCCGGCCCCAGGTGAGATGCCCGAGGTGGCCTCGGAGGTGCAGCGTGGACGCCCTGCAGCTCACGCTCCCACCCATGCTGACGTGCAGGGCTGGCTTCTTTCTCTTTGGAAGCAGCGTCCCGGGGGCATGAGGCTTCCCGATTCAGAGGTTCTGGTAGGTTTCTGGGGCACGGGAAGCTTAGGGGACTGCCCGAGGCCAGGGTCCCCAGAACCCACATCCCAGAGCTACTGAGGGATGTGGGCGCCTGTCTGCGTCCCAAGGACCTATCACTGCGCGATGCGGCCCGCCTGGCTGCCTGAGGGTCGCTCTGCAGGACCCCTGGGCTGTCCCCCGCCCCCCACATGCCCAGTGGCCCGCAGAGCCCAGGGTGTGGCCCAAGGGAGGGGCTTCTCCGCCAGCCAGTTCAAGGCAGGGGAAAAGCTAAAAGGTATGTCAGAGAATGATGAGTTATTCACCATCTGGTTCCTAAACTCCCCAGTCGTCTGTTTGATAACAAAAACAGGGAGCCTCGGCTCCTGGGCTCCTGGGCTCCCGGGCCCCAGGGCAGCGCAGGGTCCTGCCCGGACTGTGGAAGTCGCCAGCTTACCTTGCAGGTTGACGCCCTCAGGTGGGCTAACACCTTTCTGCTGTCCATGCCTCGCTGCAAGAGGTAACTGCTGCACAACTGAAAGGAAGGACAGGCCACTGTCCAGACACGCTGAGGCACATGGCTGGGGCACCGGCCCTGTCTCACTCCCACGGTGGCAGCCAGGAGGGCCTGGGGGCTGCTCTCCAGGAAGACCTCATGGGAATGCCTTCCTGGGGAGAGCGCATGCGCCCCAGCCTTGGGGGCCGGTGGTGACACTGCGTCTTAGCCGCTGTCTTTCCTGGCCGTCCTCGGCTGGGATGAACACTGAGCACTGGGCCCGCGGCACCCAGCCCTGAGGACCCTCAGGAGCATGGGGAAGTTGGGGTGTGTGGGAAGCTATGCTCCCCTCCGGCAGGGCCCGAGGATGGGGGTCAGTGCTAGGGCTCAGGACTCCACCCACCCACTCTCCGGCTGGTGGCTGCACTGGAGACGCAGGCTGGTCTATGGGGAACCATGGTGCTGAGCGTGAAATGAAACCCACAGTTCCCTGCCCAGTGGCACTGCCCTTCCCCAGAAACAAGACCCTGTGTCCTGGCTCCCCTGCTCCGTGGGCCACCGCCCAGGCCCGGGACCTCAAGCTGGGGCCCCAGTGCAGCGCCTTTACCTTGACGGCCTCGGCCGCCGCCGGCCGCTCCTGGGCGCTGCGTCTGGCCATGTGCAGGAGGAGGGTCTTGAGCCTGCGGGGCAGCGCCAGCTTGTGGTCTTGGGGGACGCTGAACTTGGCTGCCATCCACAGCACCGCGGCCACACAGTACACGGAGGCCTGGGGGTTGGGGGGTGCAGCCGTGCTCAGCAGACAGGACCCCGCCGGGCACCTCCTAGCCCAGGGGCCTGGCCTGGGGGTAGGCCTGGCTGACAAGCACCAAGGAGGCTTAGACACTTGGTGTGAAGAGGGCGCCCTGGGGCCTCGGCCGGACCCTCCCGTTCCCACTGTTTCCACCAGGGCGAAGGCGGCACCCCAGAACCTGCAGCCAGGAGTCTCCGAAACGGTGGTTCACTTTGGGCTCTCTGAACAAAAACCTAAGCCTCTTGATACACACAGAAGTTTGTTCTAAAATCTGCTGAAATGAAGGATGTGTCCCACATGCTTGGACCCAGTAACGACGGCCCATGCGGCACCTGTCCGAGCTCCCCGGAGCCGCGCCCTCCCTGAGCGCTCTCCCGGTGTCACCCTCTGTGTCTGTGCCGCGGCTGGCAGCCTGCTGTCTGGACAAGGGAGGGACAGCGAGACTACGCACAGCTGCCTTCCGCGCATGCCGCGTCCGCAGGGCGGCGGGCTCCGGGGAGGAGCGCGGTAAAGACCTGACCTGACTCAGTGTGACCGCATCGTTCATGCTTCCTCCATCACGTCATTATGTCTAGACAGCTGACAAACCAGCGAATCAAGCCCTGATTTTAGCATTTGCTGATTTCCATTCCGTGAAGATCCCCACACAGCAGGAGTCAAACTGCCAAGGTGGTGCCGTGACCCAGCACCCCTCCAGCCCCCCACCCAGGAGCACATCGAACGGCTAGGAAAGCATTAGTTTTGAGTACTTATCAACCTTTAGAAGTTAAGCGTTTAACTTTGAGATCATTGTAGGTTCACATACAGTCGTGAGCAATGATCCAGAGAGACCCCACGTACCCTTCACCCAGCTTCCTGCCACAGTGACACCCTGCAAAGCTGCAGGGCCCTGGCCTGGACACGCGGAGTCGCGGCACATCTCCATCCCCAGGTGCGCGCTGTCGTCCCACCTCAGGCCCCGGCGGCCGCTCCTCTGTTCTTCATGTCTGTGGCGTCGTCATTCCCACGGGCCAACTTTTTCTGTTGGCCGTACTATCTGATTGTTGCCGCATCGACAGTCCACTCGCTGCGTGTGCTGTTCGGCAATGTGGACGTGCAGTTCACCCACGGAAGGACATCTCAGTGGTTTCCGGGTCGTGGCTCTTGCAAATATGAACATTCATGTCCAGGATTCTGTGTGAACACACGTTCACTTGTCCAGGATCGATGCCTGGGAGAGCGAGTTTTGGGCCGTATGGTGGCTGCACGTGCAGTTTTGTAAGAAGCCACAGACCCGTCTTCCTAGAGGTTGTAGGGCCCTGCGTTCCTGCAGCAGAGGATAAGCGCTCCCGGGCCCCGCGTGCGCTGACCCCCGGCGCTGCCAGTGTCCGGGTTTTAGTCTTTGCAGTAAGTGAGCAGGGTAGCCAGTTTCAAGTTCATTCCCCAAATGCCACTCGAAGTGGGACACCTTTCACCTGCTTACCTGCCGTCACACATCCTCTTTGGTGGGGTGTCTGGTCAGACCTCTTCCCCTACCCCACCCTGGCTGCTTTTCAGTTGGCTTGTTCGTTTTCTTGAGGTTGACGTCTATCCATTCTTGGCGAACCTGGGATGCACGGCCTTCATCAGGCATGTTTTGCAAATACTTCTCCCATCTGTGGCTTGCCTTCCCATTCTCTTAACTGCCTTTCACGGAGCAGAACGTGTACTTTTAATGAAGTCTAACACCAGCAGCTCCTCTCCGGGTCACGCGTCTCGGGTTCCTGAGGTCTTCTCCTGTGTGATCTTCCAGCGGTGTTGCAGCGCTGTGTTTTACCTTCAAGGCGATGACCCATTCCGAGCTACTTTTTGTGAGAAGAGCAAGGCTGTGTCAAGTTCCTTGTGTTTCGGTGCCTGTGGACGTCCAGCCGTCCCAGCGCCGCCTGTGGAGAAGGCTGTCCTCTCTCCACTGATTGCTTTTGCTCCTTGGTCACAGACCAGCCGACGATATCTGTGTGGGTTTATTTCTGGGCCACGCTGTTCCATTTATTCCTTTGTCTTTTTTTTTGCCAGTATCACACCTGGTTACTGCTGCTCACAGTGGGCTTCAGAAGTGGGTCGTGTCCTTCCACGTTGCGTGGACTGTTCTGGGTCTCTGCCTCTCCTCACGCACTTTACGATCGTCAGTATCTGCGAAACAACTTACTAGGACTTTGGTGGGCACTGCATTGAATCCGTAGGTCAGACTGGGAAGAACCGCCATCTTAGTAACGTTGAGTCTTCAGCCCACGAACATGGACTCTCTCTCCATTTATTTAGATCTTTTTTGGTTTCTTTCATCAGAGTTTTGTAGTTTTCCTCAGATGCATCTTCTACATATTTTGTTACAATTATTCGTAAGTGTTTTTGGGGGGACGCTAATGTAAATGGTGGTGTATTTTAACTTCCAAATTCCCATTGCTCATGACTGGCGAACAGGAAAGCAACTGGCATTCGTACATCAGTCTTCCATCCTGCAGTCTTGCTGTGACTTGGCCTTTGGGGATTTCTACATGGACGGTCGTGTCACCTGTGAGTGAAAGTTTTCTCTCTTCCTTCTCCATCTACACACTTCTTATTTCCTTTTCTTGTCCTACTGCACTAGCTAGGACCTCCAGCACGACGCTGAAAGGGGTGACGGGAGGCGACACCCTTGCCCGGTCCCATCCTCGGGGGAAAGCACCCGGCTTCTCACCATTGATCACGTCACCTGTCGGCTCTTTCGCAGACGCTCTTTATCAAGCTGAGGAAGTTCCTTTCTATTCCTCGCTTGCTGAGAGTTCTTTTTTTTAAACCACGAACGGGTATTGAATTCTGTCGAAAGCTTAGCAGCTACTGATAGAAACACGGCTTTTCTTCCTTAGTTCATCTGACGTATTACACTGATTTTCTCTTCCTTTCCCTTCTTGTCAGGGGAGGGGCCAAGGTTTGTTTACTTATTTTTAGAGGCGGCACTGGGGACTGAACCCAGGACCTTGTGCACGGCAGGCATGTGCTCTCCCACTGAGCTACACCCTCCCCCTGACTTTCAGTTGTTGAATTGCTTTCCGTACGTGGAATAAGTCCCACTTGGTCAGTTTTAGATTTTGATGAAGTTCAATTTACCCATTTTTTCCTTTTGTGGCAAAATTTGTGGATAGTGCTTTTGGTGTCAAGTCTAAGGCCTCTGCCCAGCCTTCCAGCCCGAAGATCTTCTTTGATGTTTGTTCGTCAGCATTTTGTAGTTTTCGGCACACAAGTCTCATACACATTTTGTTAGGTTTACAACCAAGTGTTTGACGTTTCTGGGTGACTGCGAATGCACTGTACTTTTAATTCTGGTGTCCGCATGTCCATTGTTAGTATGAGAAATACAACTGATTCTTGAACGTTTATCTTATGTCCTGTGACCTTTCAGAACCAACTTGTAAGTTCTCGGGGTTTGTTTCTGTAGACTCCTCGGAATTTGCCACGTGGGCAGTTCTGCCATCAGCAAGCAGCGCCGCTTCCTCCGTCCTGGCCTTTACGCTTTCCCCTGCTCCCCTCGCGCTGCTGTGGCAGGTGAGCGGCAGCGCCAGTGCTCTGGGGGGTGGGGGGTGGGGGGGCGTCCTCACCTGCCCCCCAGCCCTGGGGGAAGCAGCTGGTCTCTCCACCAAGTGCGATGCTCAGCTGTAGGTTTGGGGTTTTTTCGGTAGATGTTCTTTATTAAGTTGAAGAGGAGTCTTCTATTCCTGTTTTCCTGAATTTCTTTTTTTAAATAAAGGGATGTTAAATTTTGACAGAGGCTTTTCCTGCATCAATTAATGTGACCGTGGGATGTTCTTCTTTAGCTGGTTAATAGGTTGGAGCACACTGATTGGTTTCCAAATACTGAGCTAGCCCCACACCCTGGAACAACCCCACTGCTACGCTGTGTCATTTTTATATATCGCTGAATTCCATCTGCATGTATTTTGTTAAGGTTTTTGCCTTTATATTCATGAAGAACATTGGCCTATAGACATACTTTTTGTACTATCTTTGTCTGGCTTTAATACTAGCTTCGTAAAATGGACTTTTGTCTTCTGGAAAAGATTGTGTAGAACTGGTGTTAATTCTTTTTTGAACATTACTCAGCGCACTCCAGTGAAACCATCTGGGCCTGGAGATTTATTTTTGGAAGTTTGAAAATGACAAATTCAACCTCCTCAACAGTTACAGGGCTAGTCAAAGTCTGCTCCACACTGGGTGAGTTGTGGCAGATCATGTTTTCTGAAGCTCTGGTCCGTGTTATCTCAGTGGCTGAATTCACGTGGTGGAGGTGCTTCTGGGAGGCCCTCCTTCACTCTTCTGCCGCCTGCAGGGTCTGCGGGGCTGTCCCCATGCCGCTCCTGCCGTGGCGACTTGTGTCCTTCTCTCCTCGCGTTGTCAGTTCTGCTGGAGCTGGCTAATTTTATTGGTCTCTTCCAAGAACCAGATTGCCCCATCGCTGGTTTCCTCATTGTCTTCCTGTTTCCGTTTCATTGACTTCTGCTCTCATCTTTGCGTTTCCTCCTTTCTGCCTGGGTCTCCTCTGCTCTCCTACGTCCTGGGTCTCGAGGCAGGAGCTGAGATGGCTGCACTGAGGCTTCACCTCTTCTTTAGTTTTCAGCATACGAGTCCTGGACCTGCATGCTACACTTACATCTAAGTACTTAATTTTTTAAGTGATTTTTTTTTAGGGGGTGGCTTCATTAATGCTGGGAGATGGTGGAAGTCCCAGCTCTTCTGAGGCTCCTCTGACAGCACCCCCGCTGGGAGGGGCACTTCTCACTGAGGATGGGGGCCTCATTCCGGGCTGCTGGGCTGCCCAGCCTTCCCTGACAGCACTGGGCCAGGTGGCCTCCCTTGGTCCTGCTGCTCTGGCTCCAGAGTGTGGGCCTCAGCTGGGCTTTGCTGTGCCCGCTGGTGTTTCCCAGCCGCGGTGCCCTCGTCCTCCGGGGGTGAGGCAGGAGGAAACGCGGGGTCCTCAGGACCGTCTGCTCCTGGGGCCTCTGCCCCACCCCTATCCTCTCACGCTGGCTTTCGGAACGGCAGGGTTTCTAGGTGCGCTTTGTGGGGGGAGCAGGGAAGTTACATCTCCATGTACCTTGATTTTGAACACAATTTACTTGATTGCAAGTTTGTACAATTCACTTGTTAATAATGGCTGTGTCTGAGAAGCGCCCTGCAAGCTCCCCCGAAAGCTTAGCTGTGGGCTCTCGGGAGCCAGCGCACACAGCCCGGAGCTGTCCCCGCAGAGTCCTGTCCTCTTGGGATGACACCTCTGGAGCCACATCCCCGCCCCCCTGGGAGGCACCTCCCAGGCAGACGCTGCCCGGGCCATGCAGATCTGGGCTCTGACATGGGTGCTGCGCTGGGGGGCCCGGCCTGACTCTCGCTGAGTCCTGACGCCGGGCCCCTCCTCACCCCACACCCCCACCCGCCCAGGCTCTCCGGACCAAGTGGATGGGCATCACCGTGCAGGGGGCAGAAGGCCGAGGAAAGGGATGGGGGCCCAGGTACCTTTTCAGTCACCAATTTTTGCTCTGCAACCTCAGGAGCCAGAAAGAACGAGTTGTAAGCACCTAAGAGACAAAACCCCAAGCCCCAGCTGAGCTCTCCCGTCAGCCTCGGCCGTTGGTGCTGGAGCCCGGCCCCGGGGTGCGCCCACTTACGCACCATTGGCAGGGGGCGGCCGGAAGAGCACAGTCCCATCTTCGGCCACCAGCACGGAGTCCGGACACAGGTAGGCTGCAGGAGAAGCTGAGGGTCAGGGCGCTAGGCCCGCTGGGGGCCAGCCTCCTGGGGCAACCCCTCCTCTCAGCCCCCACCCCACCCCGGATCACCAGGGATGTCAGGACACTGGGACCCTTGAGGGACACAGCACCAGGGCTCCCCTTCCCAGAGGCTCTGAGCAAGCTGCCCGGTGACAGGGCACCAGCAGGGCCCTCGGAGCCGCCCCTCCCACACTTAGCCCTGGCTCCCAGCTGCAGGGGCCATGGAGCTGAAGATGGACAGGGGCTGCTGGAGTGGGAGGGGCCAGAGGGAGGTTGCCCACCCGCCCAGCACTGCCCCGGGGGGTCCCGGAGGAGGCTGGGTGCAGGCCCACTGATCACCCCCTGGCCTGTGGCAGCAACTCTCCTCACCACGCCCTCCTCTCCCATCCCCCCATCCCCGGCACTGGGCATCTAAAACCACCGTGGGGCCAGAGATCAGTCATGGTGCCTGGTAGGGCTGAGTTGCGTAACGTCTAAGAGCTCCCTGCGCCCTGCCCCAGCCAATTTTCATCTTCCTGAGGACGATGTGGCCCTCACTGAGAGAGTGTGGGCTAGGTCCTGCTCCTCGTTGGCAAGGTCAGTGCTCTGAGGTCCACATTTTAAGCTGCCCTCTGACACCCTTGGTCCTGAGACCAGAGCAGGAACCCAATGGCCACCCCAGCTCACAGTGTGGACACTGCTGCCCAGCCCTAGGCTGTCCACAAGGCCCACCCAGGTGGTGGAGGCCGAGTCCGGCCCCTGGGTCCTGCCTGGACACACTGGGGGTGGGTGGGCTGGACGAGGACCGGGGGGGTGTCACCTGGGTGCTCGCTGTGCGTTCGCAGGGTGCTGAGGCACGCGTGGGACAGAGCCCACAGCTCATACTCCTTGAAGGGCCGGCCCAGCTTAGACAGGAGTTCCTGCAGGGAGACGCCCTGGCGGGGAAAGCCACATTCAGTGTGGGGGTCCTCGGGAGGATTTACAGAGGAAGGCGACAGGGTGCGGACCACTCTGGTGAGATATACCCCCCACGCAGCCCACTCCCGGCGCAGCAGGTGGGGAAAGCCCCTGCATCAGAACAGCACCCAGCCGGGGGTGGGTGTGGAGAAACCAGAGCCCTGTGCTCGGCTGGTGGGAATGTAAAATGGTGCAGCTGCGTGGAAAACAGTCTGGGGGATCCTGAAAAAGTTAAACACAGAATTCCCATCTGATCCAGCAATTCCACTTCAGAGCAGTCTTGAAGACACACCTGCACACGCGTGTTCAAAGCAGCGTGATTCATAACAGCTAAAATGTGGAAGCAACCCAGGTGCCTGCTGGTGGATGGCTGGATTAGCATTATGTGGTCCAGACAGATGACAGACGACATTCAGCTTTAAAAAGAAGGGAATGCTGACGCCTGCAACAACATGGATGTGCCCTGAGGACACGGTGGTCAATGAGACAAACCATCACAAGGGAAAAAGTGCTCAATGTTCTTCTTATGGCGAAGATGGAGAGTAGTCAAATCCAGAGACAGAGAGCAGATTAGAGGTCACCAGGGCTGGTGGAGGGGAACGAGGAGCTGACGTCTGGGAAGACGAGAAGGTTCTAGAGATGGCAGTGGTGACAGTGGCACAACAGTGTGAATGCACCTGATGCCACTGACCCGCACGCTCGAAACTGTTACGATGGTAAACTTTCTGTTCCGTGTACCCTCTCCCCCACAAAAGTCCAGGACTCAGAAGAAAGAGTTCAGCTGGAAAGGAGTTCTTGCCACTTTGAGGCCATCCCCTGGGGAGACCCTGTCCAGGCAGCTGCACAAAACCCCAGCTGGCTGAGGATGCAGTGCGCCAAGGCCTCCTGGCGACTCTCACCCAGGTACCGAGCTGGACAGGTGAGCAACCTCAACCCACAGTCTTAGTTTCTAACTTAAAGTTAGAAGAGGAAGCGGGGCCCGGAGCCCTCCTGGAAGGCTGCTCCCTGCACGTCTTTGGAAGATAAACTAACCCAGCAGAGAAGCGCTTGGTTCCGGCAGCTGCGGGGCCGAAGAGGGCGCTGCCCTCCGGGAGATGGGGTCGGGGGCTCAGGCCTGGAGCCACGCCAGGGGCACAGCAAGCCCCATTTGCAGCTCCCTTCAGAACAGCTCTTAAAACTTGTAAAGAAGGAGTGAAGGCTGAGACCGCCTTCCTCGTGGAGCAGCGGGGGGCTTGTGTGCGTGTGCTGGCCCTTCCCCCGCCTTGTGGATCCCAGTCACTCACCTGCTCCGTGGCTGTACTTCCCGGCTCCCAGGCTCCGTCTGGAATCCCGTCACCAGCCTTGGGAGTCCCTGGGTCTCGGCCTGCAGCTCGTGTGTCCTCGGAAGCGGGCGAGGGGCATTCCTCCGCGGGGCCCTGAACGGGCGCCCCAAGCCCCCTGTCCCTGCTGCAGCCCTCGCCCCGGGCCCCTCCCCGCTGGAGCTCAGGCTCTCGCTCTGGCCACAGTCTGGACTCCGGCTGTGTCTGGAAGCTGGAAAGGCCTTTTTTCCCCTCTGGACAGGCCTCCGTCGGGTCTGGAGGGAGGCAATCACGTGTGGGCGGCTGGTTTTGGGCACCAATCGGCGACAGGCAGAGGGTGCCGGCCTCAGGACCGTCTGGCGGGAGCCGGGGGAGTGTCTGCACTTTCCGCAGGTGACTCCTCTCCAGGAAGCCTCCGTCCAGGTCACCCAGAGGGCGCTGGGTGTCCAGGACCAGGCAGGCCAGCCTCTCCGGGGCCAGCCCCTCCTGACCCGGGCATTCTCCGTTTCTCACAGGGGTCGATAGCAGAGGCTTGGATGGTGGGGTCCCAGGGCGCTCCGGGTTTTCTCGGGCCGGGGTCTGGGGCAGGCCCTCTGGGGCAGGCAGGGCCTCTGGGTCCGAGGAGTGGTCTCCGGGCTGCCTCTTGGGCCCCACAGTTCTTGGAGCAAGTCTCCCCCTCCAGGTACTCTCACTAACATCTGGACAAAAGCAGAACAGTGATTACTGCCCAGGGCCACTGCCAGGATGGGCCTCCCCCTGCTAGTTCCGCGGGGTTCAGGACCACTAATGACCCCAGCTCCTGCAGGACCCCCGGATCCTCACCCACCACCCGAGACCCCGAGCACGGGGGCCTCCCAGGGCCCCCACCCCTTCCCTCAGTCCCACCCCGGAAACGTCCTCATCTGCTCCTTAATTGCACAATCTTGGGTAATTAACTAGTCCCAGAAGGCCGCTGGGCCTCCTCCCCTTCCTCCGACCCGGCAGAGCTCCCCACTGGGGTTTCCTAAGGCCGGTCTAATTATCTCATCCAAAAAGCACATCATTCCACTGTTACAGTCACAACAGCGATACTCCCCAGAGGAATACATTAAATCTGGCTGCAGCCCCACCCCATCCTGGCGCACAGTCTTCCACACACGTCTGTGTCAACCGCCCTAGAGACACACAGACCGGCCCGGTGGCCTGCAGCCCCTTCCGCGGCGCCTCTGCGCCAACACCTTCCCTGCTGTTGGAGCCAAGCCAGCGCCCCTCATGCTGCAGTGTCACCAACACTGACTGGTGGGAAGCGCCGCTGGCTGGCGGGGGACCCTGCCTCCGCTCGGAGGCTCCACGCCTCCCGGGGGGTCCTCCAAGCTCCGTGCTGCGGGCACAGCCCCGAACACATGCTGCCATTTACTCAAAATGCCACCCAAGATTATGCCACGGGAGCCGTGAAAATCCCAGACGCTTCAGCAAACAGCTTGTGCGGTGGGGACGTAAATGGGGTGTTGGGGGCGGGACGACAGTGAAACGTTGCGGGTCCACATACCCAGACGTCCACAGACTAAGACAGGCGTGGCCAGTCTGAGAGCAGCCCCTTCCCGAGAGGACCTCCCCTCGCCTCCACTGTGCTGTGTGTGTGTCGGACAGGGCGAGCGCGTGTTGGACAGGGCGAGCGTGTGCTGCCCGTGCACGAGTGTGCAGCCTGAGCAGGCGTACGGGTTTGCCCGTAGGTGGATGTTCGTGTGTGGAGGTGCACGGGATCTGTTCAGTACGTGTGCACGTGCGTGTGTGAGTCACCTGGTCTGTGAGCGCACCGGCGTGAACACGAGGGGATGGGATCGTGCTCATGTCTGTGCACACTCACACTTGCACACGCATGCGAGTCTGTGTGTGCGCCCGTGTGCGAGCATGCCCACGCATGAGCTTACCTTGAAACGCCCCGAAGGACTCGATGGAGAGCACCCTCCTCCCGGCGGCCGAGAGGCTGCGGCACAGGCGGCAGGAGGACGTGAACTGCATCTTCTCCTCGCACAGCGCGATGATGCTCTGCACACGGGCGCCAGCGGCTCAGCTCCGCCGCCCTCCCGGGAGCCGGCGCCCCCACCCGCCCCGTCAGGTGCACCGAAGCTGGCGTCCTGGGCTTACAGACTGCCGGCGGGCTCTGTTCCGCCCGTGACAGTGATAACGCCAACCTCTTCACAGCAGAAATAAATAGTAAAGTCAAGCCCACATTTAAACAAAACGCAGGGCCACCAGGGCCTGAGTGAGGAGCCCACAGGCGGGGGGATGGGGCGGGGCGGGGGGCAGGGCC